TTCCTTGCTGAAGACAATCAGAGATGAGCGATTGGCGGAGGTGCTTCTTTTAATGTGGTCTTAATGTTCTCATAACATTTTATACAGCAATACTTACTATTTCACAGCAGTAATAAAACTAGCTCTCTTACTCACAACACTCAGTGTTAAACTGAATCCGGTATAGATGCTGGGAGGAATCTGCATGTGTGTGTTTTAATCCTGAGGCCGTCTTGAAAGTGTCAAGATGAGCCGGCGTCTGTGTTGACACCCCGCCAGAGTGCGAATGCTGCGCGTGACGTCCTCGCTCGCTTCAGCGGCACAACAGGAAATATTCACGGCCTCCCCTCCTTCCTGCTTTGAAAAAGAGGTAGTCTCTTGCTCGCACTCGCTCTCCTGCCCTTCTTTTCTTTCGTTTTCTGCAGCAGCAGGGCAAGGCGAGACCTATTTTAATGCCTGCAGCCATCGCCGTGGCTGACGCCTCCTTCGGACCATCCGGCCAATCAGAGAGCAGCTGCTTACGCCGAAGAAACATGATCGTTTTTTCACTCTTTTGCTCCTTTCTCTGAGCAAGTGAAGGTAGCAGGAGTGGGAGCAACCAAAAGAAAGAGTGTGCGGGAGGGAGGAGGGAGAGAAAGAGAGAGAGTGAGAGAGAAGGCTGCAGACAGCGGTAGGGAAATAGCTTATCGCAGAGAACGTGAGCGAATGGTGATTGTACAGGCTTGTGCGACTGCCACAGCAGAGAGGAAAGAGGTTTGAGCCCCTGAGGATCTGAAGGATGCCATGTCAGGTGAGCAACTGACCCCGGCAGGGAGAGATAGTGGAGGAGCGGTGAAAAAGAATGAGAATGAAAGTAAAGAAATGCTGGTTGTGCCGTGGCTTGTGGTTTCTTGCTGCTTGTTTTTAAGTCCTATATGGAGCCAGGCTGAAGTGACAGCTGGTTAGCGGGCATTGACAGGGGATCTGACTGATGCTGGACACATTTGCACAAGTTCAGTAGCTTACGGGAACAAGTTTGTTAACCCACTGACATACCTTTGCTGATAATGTGTAGTGATTAAATGCAGATACCTTGTCCGATTATAGATAACTTGTGCACTAGATGACTTGGCATATTGAACACTGCTGTACATTTTTTGTTGGTGCGTGTGTGCTTTAATAAAACCAGTGTTGCATGCACTAATGACATTATCTTTTCCCTTTCTGAACAGGGTGTGTGAGGAGGGTGTGTACCTGGATTAGATTCCCGGGACCGTCACGACAAGAAAACCAAACACTGGGTACAGTATGTGTTTGAGATACGTTGTGCCAAAATTAGTACAGGTGTTTATGCTATGCTTGTAGCTGCATCAATCAGAAGTTACTGTGTGTTTGGTAAAGCATCTCCAGAAACATTTGCGCAAGGGTGTGTTACTCGAAACCTATCGCGCTTTTTTTAAACTGCAGTTTCCGAGCTTTGTTAATAGGGCTGAATAATTAATGAGCAGGTAATTGAGTTGGGCTAATTATTCATTATAAGAATGATGAATATCATCGCCGATTTGGGAAGTATTTCTCGCCTCTCATTATTTTCAGTCGCTTTTGATGAACTTGCAGTCAACTTTGTTCAGGGTTGAGTTCGAGATAACAAAGAGAACGAATATGTGGGACTGGAATCGAAAAGAGGAACTGAAAATAGTAAAAGTAGAACGACGTTTCGAATCTATTTTAGAATACAGTCATCTTCAGTGCATGCATTGTTTTGGTGGTAGGCCTGATGTACTGTATATGTTCTGTTGTGTGCCACTCTTTTTGTAGGGCAGACCTCTTCTGTTTTTCTTTCTTTCAGTCTACCTCGACCATATGCTCAGGATACAAAGAGCTGTTTGTGACCGTACATACTTTGCACCGTAAAAATAGATGTATAAATCGTTGATAACCATCAGGCACCGCACAAGCCTGCCAGTGGATCAACAAAATTGAGGGACCAACTACGCTGAGCAAATTGTATTTATGATTCAGGGTGTGGTGCCGTCATGTCTGTTATGGTGTGTGTTTGTCAATGTGGAGCTCGGTGGTTAGCACTGGGCCGTAGGTAGAGTGTGAACTGTTGTGTCTGTCTGGACTAGAGTATTGTGGGTGGCAAATGTTGATCCATGCCTGAAGCAGTCCGGTGATGTAACCACAGTTTGCTCGGGGTGATAAAACAGGCAAGTCATTGAACTTTTCTGTTTGTGTTTAGTCTGTAAATTTCAGGTAATGTTGAGCAACACATTTTTATATTTTGCTTTTCGATGTGGAAGGCTGAGAGGGATTGTCGTGCCGATGTGTATCACAGTGGGTCAAATGGCATTTGATTGCTCTTGACTCCAATTGGCTAGGAGTGTTGTGATGCTCTTTGCTGATTTGAGGTGACAGGAAAGTGCCTTCTGGTTATCATACGCTGTGCTAATTGGAAAAACATGCGGCCCCTGGAAGAAAGGCAGCTGTACGACAGTCAGCTGTACGTTGCCCTCTTCTGAGTGGCATGCATTTGCCCTTGTTTACCTCAGGGAACTTGAGCGTGGTGGGCATGGAGAGGTCAAAGGGTCATGCTGTCAGTCTTCTTGATGCAAGGGCTGAGTTATAAGTGGGTCAAAACGACAAAGGTAATGACAGGAATTTGGGTAAGGGTGCTTCGAGTATGGAAAATAGTTTCACATTTGGAATAAAGTCAGTATTTGGATTTATGCTGTATAATGCGATCTTCTGAAGTGAATTATCATGCCAAATAATATGGAACCTGAAGATTGGTGTGCTGAGTATGGGTAAATATCGATGCATATCTCCCGATTCGAAGCTGCTTGATTTGATTCTGATTCAGATTCACTTGAGTATATTTAACTGAAAACGAAAGAAACTCTCTCTTTGCTAATGCTGTTAATTATACAGGGCAGTGTTTCAGATGGATTCAACTCATCACTGAAGAACGATGCCAAAAGGATAGTTTATTTTTGGAATCAGACTACATTGCTCATGCTGTATGTTTTTGATTCACTAAAAAGTACTGGTTTATAACAATCAGAATAACTAGTTACACTGTATATTTTTGATTCACTGATTTAATTCACTAAAAATCAGCAGCTCAAGAGTCATTTGTTCATTAATCGGTCTACACTGGTCAGTGCACACCGTATGTCACATTTTTTTGTCAAATTTTGTCTCTGCCATCTAAATTTTAACAGATTTTTCAGCCCATTATTATCAGCATTGTCAGCGTTTGCATTTTTTGTGCGTGTTACTAAAATTACTTTTGGTTGAGTAAATAATGCTGAGGCATTTTGAAAAATATTTTCAAACATTGTGACGTTAGTGCCACCCATGAATACCAGTTGAACTTTTGACCAGCATGAGCAGCATGCTCAACAGTCCAGTATTGACAAGTCAGCCATTATGACTAATACTTACAGGCAATCTGTGCAACTGTTAGTGTTTTTCAGCTCAATGTGGCAATGGAGGATGTTTTTTATGGACTACTGGTCAGAAAATGGTCAAGGTCAGGGCATCGCCTGACCTGTGTGTGTATATGTAGGTGTTTGTCCCTATAGTGCATGACACTTTTCACCCTATTAAGGGGCTGTCAGGTCAGGCATCTTCCATCCAAGGCAAAAAGGTCAGAGCTGGCAATGCAGTGACCACAGTTCTCTGGAGAGAGACGTGCTTCCTGCCTTACAGCTCTTTAATGTTTAAAGTCTACAATTAGTCTGTGACTTAAAACCCTGATTGTAGCCAACTTGCAGCGCATGCTGTTTGAAATCTGTCTGAATGGTCATCAGGTGCACATTCTGCCCCAAATATATAGAAAGCAATGAACAACTGAATGAAATTGTGCAAGGAGAGTGAGGGATTGAACTATTTGACTCCTTTTCATCTTGTTTTTCTGTACAAGTCATGGCTAAAACATCCGCAAGCTCTTCTTGCTTGAAATGTTGGCAAGTAGCTGTGTAAAGCTAAAGTGCATGCAACGTGACTGCAAACATTAAAGTCTGTCTTTTAAGACATATTCTGGTTTCAGTTTAATAAACAGCATTTGTGGAATAATGTTGATTTTTTTTATTTTTATTAAAAACTAAAAACAAAAATCAATGTTACAGACGATGCAAATGAGGCCAATTTTGGAGGATCTGAAATCAATATAATTTAAAAAGCAAACATTCTAGAATTCTGTATTATTTGAGCTGTGAAGTTGTTCTCATAATTTTTACATGGTAAATTTGATTTGACTTAACACTGAAGAAAATTAGTAAGTGATTATTATATTTTTTTAGAACATTAAAATCACATTGATTTGCATATTGTTTATGTCTTTTGAGTAAACTTTTGAAACAGTGAGGATTTTCAAGTTTATTGACTGGCCCTATTCACTTTCAAATAAGGCTGCATGATTTGCAGAAAAAAAAGTTTTAATAATAATAATAATAATTTTTATTTTAGTGAAATTACAATAGTAATATTTTCTACTTTGTTTTTGTTCAATCTTTTTAAATAAATATTTTGTTAATAATAATGATAACAATGATCTTTATTTTACAGTGAAATTACAATAGTAATATCTCCTACTTTGTTTTTACTCAGTCTTTGTTTTAATATGTGTATATATATACATATATACAGAACATATATACTGAATATATATATATAAATTCAGAATAATAATATTTTTATTATTAATCTGACTAAAGAGACAGAGAAGATTTCTACTTTGTTACAAAACAAATGCTATTCCTCTAAACTTTATAATTATCAAAAGATCCTGAAAACATATTATTATTAGAATGACTTCTGAAGGATCATGTGACTCTGAAGACTGGAGTAATGATGCTTTGCATCACAGGAATATATTACATTTTAAAATATATTCAAAAAGACATCAGATACTTTAAATTGTAATAATATTTCACAATATTACTGGTTTACTGTATAAGAAGTCTTAAAGATGCCAATAACACAGTATATTCAGTATGTTATACTATTAAGAAATATGCTTAAGTAATAAACATTACCTTGTTTATTTTCCTTTTTGGCAATGAGTAGTTGATTGAGGCGCTCCTTTACTCTGTTGTGCTCCCTTTCTCTTCTCTTAATGTCATGGTTGTATTGTGTGGCACGACTTGCAATGATACCCTGCAGCCTTTGTACCTATTAAAGTAAAAAGCATATTTGATAAAATAACATATTTTAAAAAAAAACTGTACATGACATCACAGCTTTCTCGTTCATTTTTCATACGTCTTCTTTTGCATCTTTTAGGCAGTTTTGCAAAGTCTTTAAACTTGTTTCCAGCTGACGTTCTCGCTCGTGCAAGCGCATGTTTTCCTTCTTCGAAAGTTCAAGCTGGTCCTACAAAACAGTGAAAATTCAGAGTTTTTCTTGTTTTGTTTACTGAAGAAAAAAAAAAGCCATAAAAAAGTGTGATAAAAAAGCCAAACCTTTAGCCTGGAGTTGGTGAGATGTTGGTAGTGGAGGTCACTGCTGGACTTGAGCTGCTCCACCTCCAGCTCCTCCATCATTCCAACAGCTCGACGGTGTAGCTGAAGCAAGTCATGTATGTTGTTTAGGGCAACCACAGCATCCAGATCACGAATGTTGTCAGAGTTTTGGAAAATTGGTGGAAAGCATAGGGACGACAACTCCTGTGAATGTAAAGAGTGACAAGTCCATTAACAATACGAGATTCAAGTTTGTTCTTGTTTAGATTCTTCTACTAGATTCTTCTTCTTCAAACTCAAAAGACAAGTTGCAAAAAAAAAAAAACTGCACCTACCTGATTGATGTATAGAATGCACTCAGAGACATTCTCTTCCGTGCAGAAGTTGCTTGAGACGTTGAAAGAACTTAAAGGCAGAGGAGGCATGTATATATATATATATATATGTGTGTGTGTGTGTGTGTGTGTGTGTGTGTGTATATATGCACATTACTAAATAAAAACAAGGTAGGAAATATTACTATTGTAGTTTTACTGTTAAATAAAAAACATAAGTAATAATAATGATTTTATTACCTGTCATTTCTTCATTTTCAAATGTTAAACCATCAAACATAATATTGATTTAAATGTTTGCAGGGAGAGTCTTACAGTGTGCCCTATGAAAGTCAGTTTTACAGTGTGCACTATGAAACAAACTCCATCTCGTAGACATAGTGTGTAGGTAGTACAACATAATTTACCCAAATGCAGTGCCTGTTTACAGTTCCTTTATGCCATCTGATATCACTTAAATCTTTCCTTGATACATTTAGTCGTCCATTAGCCCTTAAGTGGAGGAGGCGGTCTAGTATGAGCGATCGACTTAGTAAAACACACGGCGCAGCAAAAACACCATGCATGATGATTATACGAATTTTTCCCTGTCAGCAGTTGCGTGTATCATGCTAATGGAGGATCTCGCTCATCAGAAGAGCGTGACCTCCCTGATATATAACGCTGAGATGACTGCTTATGATCTGAACTGCTGCAGGGGTTCCAGGTCGCGCAGACGGCTCGAGGTTGAGGGAAACGAGAGCTATCGGTCAGCCCAGAGCTTTTATATGAACCCCGCTGAAGAAGACAATGCACAAAAGCCCCCTAAAGCAGCAACACATACTCTGTTACTATGGGAACCTATCAGAACTGTGCTTTGTCCTTGACGGAATCAGATGGATAGAGAAGCTGTATTAGTGGAGCTTAGAAGAGAGAGAAACAGACAGAGCAAAAAGAATAAAAGCAGGAAGCAGCATGTGTGAGGATGAATGGAGATACAGTACGTCTGCCTTCGAGTGAATTTCAACACAACGGGAGACTCTTGACCCTCAACCCTTGCTCTGATTGATCTGTCTGTATCGATTCAGTACATTAAGAATTTATTATGCCACTAGACATGTCACTAGATTACATGAG